GTCTCCTACGTGGTGGTTCATAGGCCTTCTGAAGGAAAAACTGCTGAGCCATGTGTCTAGATTTAACCAATGGGCAATGAAACTTCTTCTTAAGGGCAGGTGCGTATATCTTCAGCAAGTGGAGGGTAGCCCTGGAATCCTTTAGGGTATGGAGAGACTTGTCCCTCTTCTGATTAAAGTGGTGCGATTCATCAAAGGGGAGGTCCTCAATAGTATTCTGGACCTCCCTAGGGAACCTACACATAGGAACCATGATTCCCTGTGCATGACAAAGGCAGTAGCCATAGCTCTAGAGCAGGGGTGGCCAACCTGTGGCTCCGGAGCCACATGCGGCTCTTCAGAAGTTAATATACTCCTCCTTGTATAGGCACCGATTCCGGGGCTGGAGCTACAGGCACCAACTTTCCAGTGTGCCCGGGGGTGCTCACTGCTCAACCTCTAGCTCTGCCACAGGCCCTGCCCTCACTCCACCCCTTCCTGCACTCTCCCCTGAGCCTGCCATGCTCTCACTCCTCTCCCTCCCCCCCCAGAGCCTCCTGCATGCCACAAAACAGCTGATCAGGAGGGGAGGGATTGGGGGGGGGCGCGAGGCGCTGATTGTTGGGGCTGCCGGTGGGGGCGGGAGGCGCTGGGAGCCGGGGGGCGGGGGGGAGAGGAGGGAAGCTGATTGGGGGCTGCTGACTTATTACTGTGTCTCTTTGCCAATGTACATTGGTAAATTCTGGCTCCTTCTCAGGCTCAGGTTGGTCACCCCTGCTCTAGAGCAAGCATTAGCGGTATCGACTGTAAATTGGAGTGCAGTCCTGGCTATCAGTTTGCCTTCATCTATCAGAGCTTGAAAATGTGCTCTGTCCTGTTGTGGAGGGCTGTCAGTAAACTCTGCAAACTTGGCATTGTTCAGGAAATTGTATTTAGCCAATAGCGCCTGGTAACTGGCTATCTTGACCTGGAGGATAAATGATGAGACCTTTCTTCCCAACAGATACAGGCATTTGCCCTGGACCAGCAGGAGTAGACCAGGGATGTTGTTCTCCTTTCAGAAGCAGCATGGACCATCAGTGCATTGGGAGAGGGGTGTACCAGTATGGTTTCCTTAACAGGGAGAGCTATTCTGTTGGGCCCAAAAGTGTGCAGAATGTTTAAGAGTTTGAAGTCTTGGATCTCCTCAAGAGGAATTTGAAGCTCTCCAACAACTCTGAGGAGAAAGTCCTGGAATTGCCCAAAGTCACTGTGGGTGGGTGGGGGAAGGGACACAGAAATCACTGTTTTGTCTAGGGATGGC